TTTGAGATCATTATGTATTCATTATTAAAAAATTTGTCGAGCCCTTCCACTAAAATTAAGAGGAGTAAACTGCGTATGTTTTCCAATTATCTTGCTATTTATTAAATTTTATTTGTTAGGATGATGTTTACGACCACCATATTTTCTTTCATTACTACATTTCCTAATCTATTTTCTTGTCCAGACAATTTAACTAAACAATTGATTGAAGCCAAAGACCGTCTAATAAAGGCTGAACTAGCAGCCCGAGAGGCTCAATCAAAAGCAGCAAACTCTGCTTCCGAACAGACAAAAGCTCTTGCCACAGCCGAACAAGCGCTGAGCTCGGCTCGTATTGTGGCAGAGACATCTCAAACACAGCTTCGTCAAGCTGAGACTACTAAAGAGACCTTGCGTCGAGAGGCTGAAGAGATGACGATTGAATTAGAATCTCTTAAGGTTGGTTATCTCAGCCGACTGATTTATTTAACATACAAAATAAGGCTTTTGCACTTTAATCTAATTTTTTATTTGCCACGAAGTTCCATTTATCTATAGGTCGGAAACATTTGATGTTCATAATTTGCATTGCCCAAACAGTTGACGAATCGATCTAGTATAAAATTTTCTTAAATATGCTATGGGATGACAAAGCTACATGCAGATCATGTGCTTTAGGCTTTTTATTTTCTTGTCTCATCAGCGTTCGCTCTTGGACACGAAAGGGGCTATTCCCAGCGTTGAGGCTGATCTCGAAAAAGCCGGCTTTGAGGCAGAACGGGCAAGCAAGGCACTAGTAGAGGCTCGAAAAGCACTTGCTGAGCACAGAAAAGCTGCTGAACAAGCAGCAAATGAAATTTCGACGCGCGAATCTCAGCTGTCCAATGCAGTAGATCGCCTATCGAAAGCGTCTTGTAGCAGTGACCGGCTACGCCACCAACTGGAGGTCCAGGCCCGGGAAAGTAAGGAAGCTGGGATTAAGGTGAGTTATATTATAAATGAGAGCTTGGAACCTATTAATTCTAGATATGCATTTTATTCTTCCAAAAATGGGGCGTGTATGATTGATGGCCGGTGCTAATTTTTCCGTTATTTGGATGGATGGATGGACAGTCACTCGAATAGTTAGTTAAAGCTTTGGTTGTATGTATGGATATGTAATTGTTTTGGCAAAAAGAATTGATCACTTATAATTAGAATGGATCAAGGTAACTAAGTTTAAGTATTAGATAGGGGTTTTGCATATGGACAATTGCTTGATTTAGGGGCATACATAAAAATTTATTGTTAAGTTTTTTATTAGAAATAGGAGGTTTGAGGGGAAGGTATTTATCACTGCTTTAGTGGAGACCAAAGGAAGATTCGAATAGAAAGTTGGTTTGATGAATCTTCTGAGATAACATTGTTAGGGGACCTTCATTTCGTATGAAAGTGCATGAATAAGAGATTCGTTGGTCGATCTTAACAGATAAGGTCGGGTAACTCTCGTTGTACTGCAGCCGTTTGGATTTCATACGATATTTATGTTCACGCAGTCCACGGGACTTCCTTCCTCGTTTCGGGTGAAAACGTGCTGAGGTTTCGTCCATCATATGATAGACATCATCAGAGTTGGGTGTCATTCTTGTAAAAGGCTTTCGTTAACACTAGGCCAAGAAGACTATCCGGTTTTATCTTACCTCTTATATAGACTCAGTTAAGCCAAAAGAAAATTAAAAATTAAAGACTTAGGTGGATATAGAGTGGTTTGGCTAATTATCGTTCATAGTTGTCCTGATACTTTTGCTCGAGTGTATGCGTGTGTGTGTTAGCGTTTCAAACTAGTAGGCTTGCTGATTATAGTACGTCTGTGGTTAATAGAAAGATAAGAGAGGCTATTGAAATTAATAGCTTAGGAAATACGTTGAATGTGAGGAACGGAGGTAGAAAGTTGAGTAGGATATACTTATAGAAGTTGTTTGGCCTGGTTTTCGCAACTTGGTCATATTAGTAGGAAGACTTAGAGGAGCGCACCAAGTCTGGAGTCCATTGTATGCATGATCATTTCCAGAGTAGGACCGTGGAAGTGGTACATTCCCAGACGTTTCGCCGGCATCGTCTGCATCGTCAGTGAGTTTTGCCATTCGCAGAACCATATTGCAACTCGTCAAAGAGACAAGTAAAGCCGATCCTTTGGCCAAACGTGTGCTAAACAGTTATGGTATTTCCCCTTCTGCCCCGGCCTATTCAGATTTCCTTTATCCTCCTATCACGCCTTCACTGTCACCATTTTTTAATTGCTTAATTAAATGTGGTACGATGTGCCATTTTTATCGGCTTTCATGAGAACGCTCCGCACTCCACACTGGCCTTCTCATCGCCCTTCATCCTTGTGCTGGGAATGTTGATCATAGTTATCCTTGCCTAGGTCTTACCACAGGTTAGGTCTTTGCCACATGGACCACGTCTGTTATAAAACCTACTGTAAGTCCACTAGCTCCCATCGTCGCAGCGTCTATCCTGTTTCCATTTCTTATACCAAGTCTATGACTTGCCATGCCCTATTCTGTTGTGTGCAAACCTACAAATGTTGTGGTACTGCTTGCTCCAGTTAGCTTTAATGTTAAACCACAACGTTTGTGGGTTGGTACACAAGAGACTAGAGCATGGCAAGTCATAGACTTGTTATTAGAAATAGAAACAGGATAGACGCTGCGGCGATGGGAGCTAGTGGGCTGACAGTAGGTTTTATAACAGACGTGGTCCATGTGGCAAAGGGGTGACCATGAAACTTACTGAGAGGCTTTAGCCTCGAATCAGTCACCCAGCCATAGAGGAGGAGTAGCAGATAGAGAGAAATACTTGAACCAGAGAAATCGCAGATTGATTTTACGTGCCGAGAAAGAGACTGTGATAAGACCTATGGAAAGAAGGACTGCGTAACAATATGGCAGACTCTGATCAACATTCCCAGCACAAGGATGAAGGGGGGTTAGATGGCCAGCGTGGAGTGCGGAGGGTTCTCATGAAATCCTCTAAAAAGGGCATACTGTACCATATTTAATTAAACAAGTAAAAAATGTTGACAGTGAATGCGTGATAGGAGGACATAGGAAATGTGAATAGGCCAGGGCAGAAGGGGGGATACCATAACTGTTTAGCACACGTTTGGTCAAAGG